TATAAGTTAAATAAATAAGATGACAATATATGGCCTTGTTATACTCCTTTTCCAATCTTAAACCAATCAGTTGTTCCATGTTCATTTCTAACTGTTGCATCTTGGGAGTACCAGATCATCTGGCTTTCTTGGCTTCCTTCAAGTCTCAGCTAAAATCCCATCTTTTATAGGAAGCCTTTCACAATGTCCCTTAATGTCAGTGCCTTCCCTCTGAAATTATCTCCAATTTATCCTGCATCTATCTTGTTTGTATATCAATCAATAAACATTTGTCAGTTCCTACTAAGTGCCAGACACTATGCTAAGTGCTGAGTATAAAAAGAGGCAAGACAGCCCTTACCTTCAAGAAGCTTACAGTCCAGCAAAGGAGATAACATGCAAGCAAATATATAGAAAGCAATTTATGTATGGGATAAAAAGGAAATAATTGACAGGTGAAAAGCACTAGAATTAAGAGAGGGTGGGGAAAACTTCTTATAATTTATTTATTTTTAGTTTTCAACATTCAATTCCACAAGATTTTGAGTTCCAAATTTTCTCCCCATCTTGCCCCTCCCTCCACCCCAAGATGGAGTGCATTCTGAATACCCTTCCCCTAATCTGCCCTCCCTTCTATCACCACCCCCCTTGTTTTATCTCCTTCCCCTTTTATTTTCCTGTAGGGCAGGATAGATTTCTATACCCCATTGCCTGTATATCTTATTGGGGAAAACTTCCTGAACCTCTGTCCTAAAGCCACGTGGTGTGGCTCTCTCCTTATTGGTGGAGATGAATGTCTGGCACCTCAAGAGGGGTAGATGGAATTTATAAGAGAAGAGAGAGCTCCAGCCTTCACCAGTCCCCCTTACTGACTCTTCAACCACCAGTCCCATCACTTCTGATGCTTCTGGCTTCCAGCTTGGTGAGAAAAGATGGAAGAGAATAATTTCCCTTCAGGTACTGAAAGAAAAAAACTCTGGGAACATATAGGAGGAGCTGTAAGCCTCCATCATGTTCCCATTCCTAGCTTGATACACTAGAGACTGTGGGGAGTTTCCCCTTGGGTGAGATCCAAGACTCTCTCAGTTGAACTGAGTTTCCTCTATAAGCTCCTTCAGGCTGTATTGTCTGGTGCATAATCTCCTATGTATACCTTCTCTGATGTCTGTTTTGCTATGGATTAGATAAATGGTTTTCTTTGCTATTTGCTATGTGTGTTCATTGTAGAATTGGTATTTGGTAGGAAAGTGGTCAAGCTTTGGATAATGAGCTTGGGGACCACTTGCCCCCAGAAATGACAAAGTATTCAGAAGTTACTTCTAACCCGATTATATCCCCTAGGCAAACAATATTTAGGGGGGTAGAGACATGTACTTCCAGCCCAGCACTCCCTCTCTTTTAAGAGTGCCATGTGGCCTTTGCCCAAACTTCCTGCTTCCTCTCCTGGCAGGAATTAAAATCCCACTTGGAGAAGAGTGGGAGGAGAAGAGGCTAGAGATGTCTATTTTGCCTCTCTTTGAGGCACACAGTGATAGGCCTCTCCTTACACCAAAGGCCCTGTCCTACAGATAGAGCTTTTCCCTGCATGTGGTAGTTCTGTCCATAAGAATATAATTTTTGGTGGCTTATTTTTGCAAGATGTTGTGGGTTTGGGGGGCCTAGGTTTTTTTTCTCCCCTAGTCTAAAAGCTAGAACAATTTTCTTTGTCTAGAGCTTCAGTATTTGATTTTCTCTAGCCCTTTGTGTTTCAAATAGAGCTATTTGAATTCACCTTTAAGTCCTTGGAATGGGTCCATGCAGGTGGGGGAGGGGGTAAGCCTAAAAGGGTTCATTGCTTACTTCAGATATTGGTGGCTTAAAATGAGTTTAAATAGGAATTGTTTTCTACAAACTGCCTGGTTTACATTTTTACTTGTAGGAGGTGGGATTAGTTGAGTCTTAAAAGAAGCCTGGGGAGTCAGTAGTTGGAGCTGAGAAGGCAGAGTATCCAGATCTGGAAGACCACCAGAGAATATGCCCAGAGCCAAGAGATGGAGTGTCTTGTTCTCGGACAGCCAACAGGTCAGTGTCACTGGATCAAAAAGTATGAGTTGGGAGAGTAAGATATGAGAAGACAGAAAAGGTAGGACCTCCGGGTCAACCTCCGGAGTTCTGAAAGACAAATAGAATCCGGTTGTATGCATGTTTATTTCTCTCAAAGGGGGTGGGCATGCATGTGGAGCTGCAGTCAGAACTGAGCTCCCTTTGGTGTTAGGCTGCACAGATTATAAAGCCATGAAGCAAGAAAGAGCTCCTGACTCAGGATGTCCATGCAAGCTTAATCCAGTCTTGTGGTTGTTGATACAGCAGGAGGATTTAGGGTTAACTTAGAGAGCATCGCAAAAGATTATTGTAATATCAGTCTAGAAGGGCTCAAACTGTCCTCTTGATTGGCTAGTCCAGGTTTTTGGCCTTCTTTAGGTAATGAGAGGCTCAAGAGGGTCTCACAGGGGCTAGGAAATGAAGGGCTTTGAATGCCAAACAGAGTATTTGTATTTGATCCTGGAGGCAATAAGGAGCCACTGGATTTACTGAATGACATGAAATTTACCGACTGACATGATCAGAACTTCAATTTAGGAAAGTCACTTTAATGGCTGAATGGAGAATGGATTGGAGTGGGGAAAGACTTGAGGCAGGCAGACTCACCAGCAGTCTGCAGCAATAATCTAGGCATGAGGTGAAAAGGACCTGTTCTAAAGTGGTAGCAATGTCAGAAAAGAGAAGAGACCTTATTCAAGAGAAGTTGCAAAGGAGCAATTGACAGGCCTTGGCAGCAGATTGGATGTATGTGGGTGTGGGTGTGGGTGTGTGTGTGTGTGTGTGTGAAAGAGAGAGAGAGAGAGAGAGAGAGAGAGAGAGAGAGAGAGAGAGAGAAGAATAAGGATGGCTTCTAGGTTGAGAGCCTGAGGAACTAGGAGGATGGTGTTGTCCTTTACAATAATAGGGAAGGTAAGAGGTAGGGAGAGTTCGGGGGAAAGATATTGAGTTCTGTTTTGGACATAGTAAGTTTAAAACATCTACTGGATATCCAGTTTGAGATGTCTGAAAGGCAGTTGGAGATATGAGATTGGAGGTAAGCAGAGAATTTGGGGCAGGTTAGATATATTTGAGAATCTTCAGCATAGAGATGGTAATTAAATCCATGTATGCTGATGAGATCACCAAGTGAAGTAGTATAGAAGGAGAAATGGGTCTAGGAGAGAACTCTAAGGGACATCTATGGTTAGAAGGAATGATCTAGAAGAGGATCCAGCAAAAAAGGAATGGTCAGGCAAGTAGGAGGAAAATCAGGAGAGAGTGGTATCCTGAAAACTTAGAGAGAAGACAGGAGAAGATGTTCATCAGTGTCAAAGGCTCCAGAGAGGTCAAGGGAGAATGAGGATTGAGAAAAGGCCATTGGATTTGGCAAATAAGAGATCATTGGTAACTTTGTTCAGTGGAATGATAAGATCAGAAGCCAGATGGTAAAGGGTTAAGAGGAGAGTAAGAGGAGAGAAAGTGGAAGCACCTATTGTAGAAGGCTTTTTGAGATGGTTAGCCACAAAGGGCAGAAGAGTTACATGGTGGTTTGCATGTCATTTCTCCCTTTAGAATGTAAGCTCCTTGAGAGCAGGGTCTTTTTTTACTTTGTATTTGTAGCACTTAGCCTTATGCTTGGCACATAGTAGGCATTTAATAAAGACTTATTAATGACTTGAGTTAACAGCTCCTAATTTATGGGAAGGAGGGAAGGTGATTTAATGTCATATTAAACTTGCTCCTCTTCTACCAAATCTGAATATTAATAAAAGCAGATAAAACAGTGACCAGTTCCACAGAATTGTTGCTAAGTATGATTTCTAGCCCCCCTAAGCTGATAGCATCACCTCTCGGTTGGTCTCAAGTATTCCTTCTGAGGTCTTCCTACAGAGAAACCAAGAGACCTGTTGTTAACTTCTCTTCCCACTAGGCATCTGTTTTGTTCCTCCAGCTCACATAGGTATATAATTTTCAGTACAGTGTGTTATTTGACTACAATGTTTATTGAGTTAGTACTCTGTCGTTTTCAGAGAAAAAAAACTCAGATCAAATAAACACACCATGTGGATTTAAGTTTCATTTTTTCCCCCTGGAAAATTAACTAGATTGGTGCTTTTTATAGGCTAGCTCCACCAATTTTTAGAATATTGTGATTAAAAATCACTTATTTTGTGCTGCCAGTTGGTAAGATAGAAGGGGGTATGTTTAAATGATATTGCTTAAAATGGCATAAGGCTCTTCTATCTCCTAGTAACAAATGTTTGCCTTCTGAGTGACTGGCTTTGAAGATAGTTTCTTGTGCTGTGTCATAGGGCTAGAAATTATTAAACAAAACGACCTCTTTAAGGAACTTCAACCTGAAAGCTAAAAGCTGACTGGTATTGATACTTTATTCATTACTTATTTCTAATAAGAATAATCATTTGTTTTGAGGGCCCCTTTAAAAGAGATTTGAAAAAACAACAACCACCCTTTTACTGTATTCTATCATATTACTACATGAACCTTCACACTTTAGTCACCATATCTTGCAAATAGGTTCTGTTTTCCGTTTCACCACCCCATCTTTGCTCCCTTGCTTCTCTCTGCATATGCCACCTATTCAACAGATAAATCCTTGGATTCCCCATGCCAGATGTGACCTCCACCTCTTGCCTTCTCGTAGCATTTTGTTTATACCTTTCTTATAAATTTATAAAGGACTTCCCTCCTCCTCTCCTCTCCATCTTGGTGGATTAGTAACAGAAGGCTTCAAATATGGTCACAAAGTGTTAATAAGATGTTGAACAGACTGTAGAGATGCTGTTGCTGTTATAGGGTGTGAGCACCTCTCTGAGTCAAGGGCGGGGGGGGGGGGGGGGGGCAACATAATCTGGGTGAACAAATACCCAGCCTCTGCAGGCTAAGCTAAACCTGGAGCGGTGGATTTCAAGGGGGATGCTATCTGTGGATCAGACCAAGCAGGGGAAGAAAGTAACTTTTTTCTCTTCCTCTTCCCTCTCCCCAGCCCCATCATCCACAGAGTTTGAAGGGAAGCTACAAGACCAACCAGCAGGGAGCAGAAGCATATACTCAACCAGGGCTTCTTAAAATTTTTCCACTCTCAACCCCTTAATCCTGGACCTGAGACATGGACTTTTATACTCAGGTACCTGGGGAAATTAATCTACTTTTGGAACTACCTCCTTAAGAGTCTTACCCTAGGGTAGTGCAATTAGGGATTGAGTGTGTGCAAACTAGCTTATTTAATTCACTATATCTACTAGCCATTCCTAGACACCAGACCATACTTCAGTATTGCACACAATGACTATCTTCCTCCACCTGTCCATCTCCCCAAAACAAAATTACCTGCCCAGGTCCCCATGCACTGTCCTCCTCATTAGAACTAAGCACTTTAAGAGTAGGGACCATTTCTTTTTTTTTTTTTAATCTTTGTGTCTCTAGGAACTCATCTGAGTAAATTGCCCAGGAAACACTGAAGAGAAAGAGGGATCCATGAAGACTATGAGGACTTTTGTGCTCTACAAGACCAGAAGGTATGAATTGCCTTGGCCACAAGTTTATCCTGCTATGCCTCACTAACATTGTATTTTAGGTGTGAGCTCACTCTTCCTTTATGTGTTTGTAGGAGTATGCACTAGGGAATGTTTTTGTAGCTTGTTTTAGTAAATGCCTTTGTTAGGAGCTAATATCGTCTATCACCTGATTGTTAAGGAGAAGCACACTGGTTGGGGTTTGTGAGCTGTAATGTTAGAAGGTTGGTCCCACAGACTACATCTTGAGAATAAAAATGCTCTTTTTTTTCCTCTAAGAAAAATCCCAGATAGAAAATCTCTTCAGTGGATTCTGGCAAATGCATAGCAGGTCCAAACCTAGAGTGAGAGCACAATTTAGGGGGGTAAGCCAGATGGGGTGATACATTGTGCAGGATATATTTGTGTTCCCTATGCATTTGCAGGGACACACTGAAGAGACTCTCTATTTGGGACTCTCCTTATTAGAGGAAAAACTGTAATTATTATTTTTTGGAATGTAATTAGATGGTTTATTTTCTGCTTTTTTCCCTTACAAGTCAGACTGGTTTGTTCAAGATAACTTTTACTCATTTGAATATTCATATTCATGTGCTGAGGTCTCGGGGCAGCGAGGTAGATAGAGCACCAGGCCCAGAGTCAGGAAGATGAGATCTGGCCTCAGACACTTTTGAGCTATGTGATCCTGGACAAGTCAAGCCTGTTTGCCTCAGTTTCCTCATCTGTAAAATGAACTGGAGAAGGAAATAGCAAAACCACTCAGTATCTTTGCCAAGAAAGCCCTATAAATGGAGTCACAAAGAGTCAGATGTGATTGAAAAATGACTGAACAACAACGTACTGATGATATCCCATGTATAACTGAACCCACTGTGAGGACAAAAACTAATACAAGCGATATAGATTTTACATCCCTAGTACATTGGTGCCTAGAAATTCACCTAGAGGCATAACAAGGGAGCTCATAAATGTGGTTTTCTGTTGATTTTTTTAAAATTACCTTTAAGCAGACCTAGACCTAGTTGGAATCAGCCTTCGTCAGCTTTTGCCCTCATGGCCGCGTTGATGACATGCAACCATTTCCAGGTCCTTAGGAAGGAGCACTAGACCTAAGATTCAGAACACATGGGTTTGAGGCCAGCCCTGCCTCTTACTAGTCATGTGAGGACAAGCCACAATCTCCAAACCTCAGTGTTCTCATCAATAAAATGGGGACAGCAATGTTTATAGTTCCTACCTCATCTCTGGGGAGCCTGCCTGGATCCCTACCCTGCAGTGTGGCTTCCTATTGCCAGCAAAGTAAAATTCAAATGATCTTTCAACAAAAGCAGTTGATAAAACTGGAAAAGAATCTGGCAGAAATTAGGTTCAGACCAAAACCTAACATTTACCAAAATAAATTCCAAATTGATACCTGGCTTGCATATAAAAGAACAAATTAAATTAATTTCAAATTAAAAGGACAAATAAACACAGAAGAGCAAGGAAGAATTACCTTTTGAATCTATGGATAGGGGAAGAGTTCATGATCAAATAAGGGATAGAATCACAGATAACACAATTTTTACTACATAAAATTAAAAGATTTTTGCACAAACAAAATAAAATAAGCTAAAACTAGAAGGGAAACAGTTAACTGGAAGAAAAAGAATCTTTACCCAAAGTTTCTCTAATAAAGGTCTCCTTTCTAAGAAATAAAAAGGAACTGATTGAAATTTATAAGAGTAACACCCATTCCCCAGTTGATACTGAATCATTTTCATGATTATTGATTTGTTGTATAGTTTGGGATCTGTACTGCCAGGCTCTTTTCCTTCCCATTTTCCCCCCACAATTTCTCTTGAGATTCTTGACCTTTTGTTCTTCTAGATGAGTTTTGTTTTTTTCTATATCTATAAAATATTCATTTAGTAGTTTAGAATAGCACTGAATAAGTAAATTAATTTAGATACCATTATAGTTTCTATTATATTGTCATGACCTACCCCTGAGCGATTAATATTTCTCCTCTTATTTAGACCTGTCTTTACTTCTACAAAGATGTGCAGTTGCATTCATATAATTGCCATATGTCCTGGTGGTAGCCTACCAAGTATTTTATACATTTGGTGGTTATTTTTCATGAAATTTCTCTTTCTATTCCTTCTGGGTTCTGTTGGTAATATATAGAAATGCTGATGACTTATGTGAATTTATTTTATATCCTGCAACTTGGCTGAATTTTAATTGTTTTGATTCTTTTAATGGGTTCTTTAAAGTTCTCAAGATAGGCCAACATCTGCAAAAAAGCAGTGACTTTGTTTTCTTTTTGCTTATAGTTGTTCCCTCAGTTTCTTTTTCTTATGTTATTGGGATATTGAGCATTTCTAGGACTTTTTAAAATATTAGTAGCTATACTGGGCTTTCTTGTTTTACCCTTGATCTTACTAGAAAAGCCTCCAACCTTTCTCTATTACATATAATGTTCATTCTTGTCCTGAGATAGATACTACTCACCATGTTAAGGAAAAGTCAATTTATTCCTATGCTTTCTTGTGTGTGTGCGTGTGTGTGTGTGTGTGTGTGTGTGTGTGTGTGTGTGTGTGTGTGTTGGGAGTTCACTTCTGGGAGCCAACATGGCAGAGTAAGAGGTAAGTTGCTCTTACCCTCCCCTATTAACCTCTGAAAACCCAGAAAATATCGCCCAAGGAAAAACCCTGGAACAGCTGAACCAGAAGAAAGATGGGGTACAGCAGTCCTATAGCCCAGGTAGCTTGAGAGAAAGGCCCCTCTTGCCCTGGGCGAAGGTCAGCAGTACAGAATGGGAGGCATCCTAGCAAGTTAGTGGAAAGCCCTACCTCAGCACAACAGGAGGAGATCCTGAAACCCAGATGGTGGAGCAGACAAACACCAACACCTGGACCCCCAACGTCCAGTGAGGATGGGGGAACCGGTGGAAACCAGCTCAGAAAACCACCAGGTGCCTCGGCATTCTACAGCAACCGGGTCTCCCAGTGCCTCAGCAAAAATAAGAGAAGCAGCACTACAAAGGGCCCCAGGCAGATAAACACCCTGCAACATTCATCTGAAAGGAGCTGAAGAAAGCAAAAGGAAAAGAAAAGCAGGTAACCTAGAGTTGCCTGAAAGATCCAGCCTTGCTGATTCCAGCCCAACACCAGGTAAGCTGCCAGAACACTACAGCCTCCAACTGCCAACATCAGAGGCCCCAGCACACAAAGCCAGCGACCAGGCCCTAGGCTCCTGACACAAGAAGCTTGAGTCAGTGCCCTCTGCTCCCCAGCAGGAGAACTCAATCTCTTTAAAGGCCAGGGAATAAGCAAACACCATGAGCAAAAAGAAACATACCATAGATTCATATTATGAGAACAGTGAAGATCAAGACAGAAATTCTGAAGAGGACAACGTTGTCAACAAACCCATATCTGGAACCTCAAAGGGAATATGAACTGGTCTGAAGCCAAAAAAACCTTCTTAGAATAGCTCAAGAAGGATTGTAAAAGTCAAATGAGAGAGGTAGAAGAAAAAATGAGAGGTATGCAAGAGAGAGTCGATAGCCTGGAAAAAGAAGGATAAAAATTAATTGTAGAAAGCAAGTCCTTAAAATATGCAATTGGCCAACTGGAAAAAAAGTACACTGAAGAAAACAAGTCCCTAAAATATACAACTGGCCAAATGGAGAAGGAGGTACAAAATCTAATAGAAGAAAACAGTTTGTTAAAAATTAGAATTGGACAAATGGAAGCTAATGTCTTTATGAGACAGTAAGAATCAGTCAAACAGAAACAAAAGAATGAAAAAATAGATGAAAATGTAAAATACCTCATTGCTGTGTGTATGTTTAAACAGAAATAGGTCTTGGATTTGGTCAAAAGCCTTTTCAGCATTTATTGATAATAGTCATGGAGTTTTTATGGTCGTGTTATTAACATGGTCTATTATGTTTATAGTCCTCGTTATATTGAGCCAACCTTAAATTACTGATATAAATCCAAGCTAGTCATAGGATATGATCTTTTTAATGTGCTCTTATAACCTATTCATTAATATTTTAATTTTTTCCCATTAATATTATTTAGGGATACGGTCTATAGTTCTCTCTGTTTCATCCTTTCTTGACTTAGGTATCAAGATCATATTTGTATTATGGAAAGAGTTTGAAAAGGTCCCCTTATTTTCTTATTTTTGCAAATAGTTTATGGAATATTACAATCAATTGTTCCATGAATGTTTAATAGAATTCACTAGTAAATTCATCTGGTCCTAGAGTATATTTCTTTGGGAGTTCAATTATGGCTTATTCAATTAATTTTTCTGATATAGGGCTATTTAAATAATCTATTTCTTCTGCGAATCTGAGCATTTTATATTTTTGTAAGTATTCATCTATTTTATCTAAGTTATTAGTTTGGTGGGCATATAACTGGACAAAAATAATTTTCTTTTTTCCTTTCCATTTGCTGTGAATTCTCACTTTGCTGATAAAAACATTTAAAGATGTAAATTTCCCCCTAAGGTATGCTTGAACTGTATCTTATAAATGTTAGTATCATTGCTATCATTTTCTCTGATAAAATTTTCTATTATTTCTGTGTTTTGTATTTAGACCCACCAATTCTTCAGGATTAAGTTACAGAGTCTCCAATTAATATTTAATTATCTTTTCAAAGGCTTATTACTGAATATAATTTATATTGCATTGTAATCAGTAAAGGATGGATTCAATATTTCTGCTTTTCTGCATTTGTTTGTGAGGTTTTGAATGTGTCAATATATGGTCAACTTTTGCAAAGGTTCCATGCACAGCTGAGAAAAAAATTAAGAAGTTAAAAAAACAAACTTCATGACTTTACTTGGCATTCAAGACCCTACAAAATCAGACATCACCCTACTTTTCCAGTCTTGCATCATACTACCCTGCTGCATGCACTTTTATGTTTGGGCCCAATGGGCTACTATTCTGGTATGTCCTGAAAACACACCCATAATTCTCCAACATTTCTGCTCTGTGCCTTGGCTCACACTGATCTAGAGCTCTGTGTCTGTGTAACAGGCCATAGAGAAAGATCCCTAGCATTTGTAGTTCAGTATTTAAATGACCAGCCAGCCAACAGAGAAGTAGACTGAAGCAGCAGCATAACCCTACCCCGTCTAATTCAACACTGCATTTTTAGATACAACTATAAATCCGAATCCCAATTTACCAATTATACCTTGATGTTCTCCTTCCTCTTCAATCTATCACCTTCCTACCCATCCTTTAAAGCCCAGAAAACTTTCCCTATTGTGGTACAATATGAAGAGCACTGGCTGTAGAGACAATACCTAGGTTCAAATTCCAGCTATGCCTCCAACTACCTGTGTTACATGGGGCAATTCACTTAATCTCCCTCAGCCTCAGTTTCCTGAGGGTGTTGGACCAAATGGTCTTTAAAATCTCTTCTAGCTCTAGATAAACAATCTTCCTCTCTCTTCACCCATTTCCCCATTAATGTTAATCTCCTTCCCCAATCTTCCTTCTCATATACTGCTTTGTTCCATGCCTCTAATTTATGCCATGTATTATAATTATATTTATATTCTATCCCCCTATGAGACTGTAAGCTCCATGAGGGCAAGGATTATGTCTTATTTAAATTTTGTACTTTCCCTAGCACAGTGCTTTACTTTGCACACCATGGGGTAAGCAATATTTGTGGTTTATACATGTAATTATTATTATTATTATTATTATTATTGAATTAATAAGAGTAGTTTCCTTGAGGAAACTAAGAGAGATCATTAAGCTACGACAGATTTTCCTATGGTTCATTTATATTTTGGGAGTGGCCCCAAGATCTCAAAGGAGCATTTTATCTAAAAATAGAATTTACATGTTTGCAATCTTCTCCCAGTCTAGTTAACAGGAGAATTCTTAGTTACCTATATAAAGAATGTCCAAGAACAACAGTAGCAGAATCCTAAAAGAGGTGAATTTTGTGTTTTGTGCTCTCTGAGCTCCTCCATTTTCTTCTCCCTTTATGGAGCAGTCACTAATCTTCTAAGTGTTAGTGAGTTTACAGTACCATCCTTCGACATGATTGAGAGCAAGCCCTGATAGCACCTGTTGGAAATGACCTCAAGCTAAGGGGGAGTCATACCTACTACATCTACTACACACATCTACTGGTAACAGCAAGAAGAACTGTACTTGGACCTAAAATCTTAGAGATCCTTGGGAGATGGTCGCTCATTGGAATGTGTTTTCTAAAGTTTCTCCTTGGGTTTTATTTTGTTTCCCTTAATCTTTAAGGGACAGCATGCTACACTAGGAAGAATATTGTTTATAGTCAGAGAAAGAATATATTCATAGAGGATCTGCTTTGAAATCCTTCTTCTATTACTATCTGTGTAATTCTGGGCAAATCATTTCATCTCTGGCTCTTTCCTTATCTGTAAAATGAGGAGGTTGGACCAGATGGCCTCTAAATCTGTGATGCTAGGATCTTTCAAGAAAAAATTTCCTTCTGATTTTGTGAACTGCAATCACATGAGGGGTTGGGGGGTCAGCATATTGGATAGTATCAGTAAATAATTTTTCTAGGTTTTTATGAATGTAGCTTTGGAGTTATGAGTCAGAGAAATGAGGTATCCTTTACAGTCAACTTGGGTTCTTGGTGACATCTGGGTTACAATAGAGAATTCTTCATTATATTGAGCCAAAAATCTCCCTCTTTGAATCTTTCCCCAGGAGCTACAGAAAATAAGCCACAGAATCTCAGAATTGGAAGGTATATTAAAGTTAACCATGTCCAGCCAATATCTAAACAAGAATTCCTTGCATTGCATCTGATACAGATCACTAGCTCCCAAGGCAGCCTATCTCACTTTTGGATCTTTCCAGTTGTAAAGAAGATTTTCTTTATGTTGAGCTACACTCTCCATCTCTATAATTTCTACCCTCTGTAACACTCAAGTGTATCAAACTATAATATAAAATATTATGTTATCTGTGTTTGTGTGTTATCTCTTTAATAGATTGTCAACTTCATAAGAGCAAGTCTTATCTAAACTTAGTATTTCCTCTAGTGCCTAGAAAATGCTCTACACATGGCAAACTCCTAAGAATTGATAAATGTGTTGCATGAAAAGCAGAATGAGTTTAAAACATCTACTTTCCAATTACTGTCTATGGCAACACCATTCTCCTAGTTGTGCAAGTTTGCAATTTCTAGAATCATCAATGATTCCTCACTCTCACTTGCTCCCCATATCCAGTCAGTTGCCAAATTTTGCTATTTCTACTTCACATCTTTTGTATGTTCCTTTCTCTCTGTTAACGTGGCCACCACCCTGGGTCAGGGGTTCACCTCATCACCTCTTGCCTGGCCTATTGCAATAGCATTCTAATTGATATTCCCTACCTTTAAGCTTCCCTCCACCCCAATCCAATCTCCACTCAACTGCCAAAGTGATTTTCTCAAAGCATAGCTCTAAACATAATACTTTCTTACTCAAACACTTGTGCTCCCTATTACCTCCAAGATCAACTAGAAAATGCCTGGTTTAACATTTAAAGCCCTTCACAACTTAGTTCTTTTCTTTGTTGCCATATTTCTTACATTTTATTCCCCTCCACGCACTGTATGAAGCCAGCTCTAGTGGCTTAGTTGATGATCTTTGCGTGTGGAACCATCTCCGTTCCTAGCTTCAAGAATGCATTGGCTAACCCCCATGCCCGGAATGTCACTTTTCTCACCTCTCCCACCTTAAATCCCTGGTTTCCTTCAAGACTCAGCCCCAATGCCACCTTTTTGTAGGAAAATTTCTTTGCCTCCCTCCCTCTTATTACTCAGTCCCATCTCCTAGAAATTTTCCCTTTAAGGTTAAAATTTACCTTCTAATCTACTCTATTTTAATTTATTTGTACCTATTTATTTGCATGTTGTCTTTTCCATTATAATGTAAGCTACTTGAGGGCAGGAACCATTTTTGCCTTTTTTTTTTGTTATTCTCCAGCATTTAGCACAGTTCTTGGCACGTAATAGTAGGCATTTAATAAATGTTGGTTGTGATTACTAGCTTTTCAAATACTTGAAGACTGGTATCATACCTCTCTGCCACACATAAATCTTATTGGAATCTTTTCTTCTCCAATCTATATGTCCCCAATTTCTTCAAATGATCCTCTGATAGCATGATCTATTTATTATTCTGGTCCTCATTTTTCTGATAGACTTTCTCTTAGAATGTAATCTGGCTTGAATATATCCTTCTAAGAATATGGTACCCAGAAGTGGACATATTCAAGACATGTTTTGATAATGGCAGAGCATAATGATACTGTCATTTCCTTGGTTCCACAAATTATATTTTTTTTAAAATGCAGTTTAAGATCTGGTTAGAGCTTTGGGCTTCCATGTTATACTGTGAAATCACACTAGGATTTCATTAATTGTGTTCACTATAACTTTCTCAGTCTAGCCATCCCATACTTTGTACTTGTATACTTACAACTGATTTTTTTAATCTGAGTGTTGGAGTTTATATTTATCTCTTTGATTAATATTTCATTTTAATAGATTTGGTCTCTAATTCTTTCTTGCCAAGATCTTTAATGATCTTGATTCTGTCATCACATGTATTAACTCTCTCTCTTCCAGGGCCTTAGCACTGTCAAAATTGATAAGCGTACTATCATTCAAGTTGTCGATAATAATGTTGATGAGGACAAGGACAAGGACAATTGCTTGGAGCATGTAACTGGAGATGTGATTCCAGTGGATACCAAACCATTTATCACTATGCTTTGTTTCTAGTCATTCTTTCATACAATACCTCTTTCAATAGAAACTATGTTTTCTAATCAATTACTCAATAAACAAGCATTTATTAAATGCCTACTGTGTGCTAGGCACTGTGGATATATAAATACAAAGAACAAAACAATTCTGACTTTCAAGAAGCTTACATTCTAACTGGGAAGAAAACAAGTGTATGCGAACTCACAAACATATCCACCCTCACATAGAGAATAAATACAAAGTACTTAAATACAGTCTAGTTTGAAAGAAGGGCATTTGGGGGTAGCAGGAAAGGCTTTATGTAGAAGGTAGTGTTTGAATTACATCTTGAAGGAAGAAAAGTATTCACTGAGGTGGAAGTGAGGAGGGACAGGAGATGAAAGGATATCTAGTGCAAAGGTATCTATGGGACATGGGAAATAAGAGTGTCTTGTGTGAGAAAGAAAGAAGGTCAATTTGCCTGATTTTTAGAGTGTAGGAGGGGGAATAGTATACAAAGAAGCTCTGAAGATAGATTGAGCCCAGGTTGTAAAGGTGATTAAAAGCTAAATGGAAGAGTTTATATCTGATTTGTGAGGCAATTGGAAACCATTAGTGTTTATTGAGTAGCACAGTGACATTGTCAGATATACATTTAAGAAAAAATCAGTTTTGCAGCAATGTAGAGGATGGACTGGAGTAGTAGGAGACTTCAAGCAGGGAGACCAACTAGGAGGCTGTTCTAGGTGATGGAGAGGTGATAAACTCGAGCTAAGATGGCAGCCATATGATTAGAGAGAAGGGTTCACTGTGAGAGATGTCAAAAAGGTAGAACAGCAAGATTTGGCAACTGATGGACTATTTGGGGTGAGTGAAAGTGAGGAATCAATGATAACACTAAGATTATGAACCTGGGCCACTAGAAGGATTGTGGTGTCTTTGAAAGAAACAGCAAAGTTTTCGAGAAAAAAATTTTTTTCCAGGGTGAAGGCAGAGAGGGAAGATAATAAATTCAGTTTTGGACACATTAAGTTTGAGATGCCTATGGGACATTCAGTTTGAGATGCTCGGGAGAGGTAGTTCATGATTGAGCACTGAAGGAAAGGCATGAAACTGAGGATGGATATAGAGTTTGTGAATTATTTACATGAAGATTATAATTGAAGTCATGGGAATTGATGAGGTCATGAGGAGAGAAAGGGAGAGGAGAGTATGGGATTTACAGTTAGGAGGCATGATGGATAATGAACCACCAAAGAAGACTGAGAAGGTACAGCTCAACAGGTAGAAGGAGAATCAAGAGAAAGTAGTGTCACAAAAAAATAGAGAGAAGAGAATATCCAGGAGAAAGTTGGTCAGTTTAGTGTAATGTGCTGAAGATAGGTTTAAAAAAAGTTGCAGACTGAGAAAAGACCATTAGATTAGGCAATTGATAAATTTGGAGTGAGGAATTTCAATTGATGATATCATAATCCACATTGCAAATGATTGAGTGAGAGAAAGATGAGGCAGACTATAGGAACTTTTTCTAAGAGATTGCAGGGAAAAGGAGGGGAGATGTAGCATGAGCAATGATGGGGAAGACTTGGATGTATCTGAAGGCAATATGGAAGGGAAAGGTTGAAAATTGAAGTGAGTGAGAATGATCAAGGATGTAATCTTCTGTAGAAGATGGGAGAGATTGAGATCAAATTTATATGCTGAGGTGCTAGCTTTGGCATGGAGAAGGGCCACCTCTTTGTCGGACACCATCGGAAGGAAGAGATGTCAAGGTATTAGGAGATGGAGAAGAGTGAGCTCCTGTCAAATGGTCTCAGTTTTCTTAGTTAAGAGACAAGATCCTCAGATAAGAGAGAGATGGGAGGGAAAGTGCAGGAGGCTTGAGGAGAGAACAGAATGTCCAAACATTCAAATAACTTCTGTGGGGAGTAAGATAAGAGATCAATTAAGGACAAATAAAAGGATTGCCTTAGTGCAGTGAGAGCCCAGATGATGTTGGGTAACAGGATCATATAATTTGCCCAGTCAGCATGATTATATGATTTTCTTCAGCTGCATTTAGCAGTTTGTGGGTAGGAGCAGAGGGGGAGGTTAGTGGAAGCAATTCAGGACTGAGGTTTGGCAGGAGATAAGTGGCAATAAGACAAAGGAGTGAGAGATTGGAGAGTAGAGGATAGCCCCATGTCGGATTGGTTAACTATTGGGTCAGAATTAGAAAGGGAAGGAAATAAAGAAAAGCAAAGATAATGAGAAAGTACTGAGGGGCAAAAGAATTGGAGATATAGATGGGGTTAAATTATAGGTTTAGGATGGGTGAGGCATAGGGAGAGATGGAATGACAGGAGGTTATGGTCAGGAGAATGTCGGTTTCTTCTTCAAGAAGTGAACACTTGCGGGTGATGGTGAGAAACAGGGTGTGACTATGGCTTTGTGTGGTTAAGGTGGAGTGAACATATAGAACATGGAATTTAAGGAGAGGGAGGAATTGAGAGGTTAGAAAGGGCAAAGGAATATCATATAGATGTCAAAGTGCTCTTGCATAAGGACAGGAGCTGGTAAATAGAGGAAGATGGTGAGCCAATGCCCTCTGCCAGCCTATTCAGGCTAAACATTTTTAGTTTCCTCAACTATTTGTTCTTGTGACCTCATTACCAGAAGCTTCCCCATTCTGTTTGTACTCAGGAGGCAGTCCAGCTTGTTAAAGTTCCACAATACACTTTGAGAGGAGGCATAGAAGAGAGGTCAAAGAATAATTAAAACCAATCCTACAACATAAGAAGCCAGAGTTTTGCACAGCAAAGAGAATAGGAAAGGGCTCAAAACACATTTTCAAGGATGTAGCTGTTACTGACACAGGCTTGTTATTGCTCGGTCCTTTGGTATAATCTGTTCCTAAGCTGCCTGATGGATAAAACGTTCACAGGGACAAACAAAACACAAGACAACACAAACAGAAACATAGGAAAAGCTTGCCTCATTCTGCTGCATTCTTCTGCTGCTCTAACACAAAGAGGTCTCACCTGGTGCTTCCTTCAGTTAATACAGTCACCAACAGGATGTGTTGGAGACAGCTTAAACTGGCTTGACTGAA